TCCTTGGAAACAAGCGTGTCTACGTGATGAAACCTTTTCCGCCTTTTTAAGGGACCCCGATTTTCTAAAATCCATTCTCCCCTTATCCGATGAGCTTAATGAAGTCCTAAAGGACATCTTCAACCTTGATCCGGAAAAACGAATCTCACTCGAGGAGCTCCGAGAACGTATCCTGGCATGTCACAGTTTTACCGTGTCGGAATACGACACCTATTACAAGCCTTCCTCAAAGGTTGTCGATCCTTATCACCAACAACAGCATGTGGAGATCGATGTCTGTGAAGAATTTACCGCAACTGCTCCGCAAAAACATCTCAATCGCTCATCCACGAATTCTTCGGCCACCGCTTGTTCGTGGTATTCGATGAATTCCGAGATGGACTTTTCCATACCACCTTCCGAATTCTTGGATGATTATGATCGTTGCTCGACCTCGACCGGTTCTTCTTCGTCTCTGTCAACACTAGCAACCAGCCAGCCCGATCTACTCAAGTGCATTGATCCGGGTTCGGGATTTAGCTTGAAATGTGGAGATCTAATTATGGAAAATCACCTTTTTCAGACCGATTGCATATTTTAAAAAAAATTCATCATCATTTTTGTCGTTTTTTACGAATATGAACATCATCTTTCTTTCTATGCCTTCCTCTATTATCTGTCACTTTAATAATCCTAATGCCTTCTCAAAAAAATTTAATAATTAAAGCAACCACCAGTATCTAAAGGGACTATCATTTCTAAGTCACGTGGTTAAGCTCATCACTTTTTTCCCTCATGCAAATACCACGTGCTAAGGATCGATCATAGCAATTTTGGTTACTTTTTCTTGTAAATATATTTTTTTTTCACCCTTGATTCGTAGTTATCGAAATTCGTACAATCAAGAAAGTTTTTGATTCTTTCAATGTATATAGAAATTTTTGGGATTACTTTCGTATCTCAGATGGGTTTTCTTTTTTTATAAGATTTTTTTAAAAGAAAAAAAAAAAAAAAAAAAAAAGTTCTCGAATCGCACACACAAACAAACAAATCAATCACAAACGAAAAATTTCGAATAAATCCGATCGCTTACTGGTTAAGTGTTAAAAGATCAACTTTCGTTGTAGGAATTGAATCACTACTGCGCTTTCTTTTTCTTTTTTTTCTTTCAAACGCTCGACGATCCGATCTGATTACCAGTGTTATTCTACCTTTAGCTAAAAGAATCGGAGTTTTTGGCTATTGCTTCAAAAGGGAATTTATAATTAAGATAATACTGTGCAGAAATCACACGAATGATTGTTAGAATCCAAAATGATTGAATGATTTTATTGGACAACAAACAATTGTGATCTTTTAATTCTCCTAATTTTCCTGACGGTTAATGTATTCTTTTTTAAAAAAAACAATTAATTTAATCTCATTCTATAATATAGACTACGGCTAATTTAACTAATTTAATCTTTTCTTTTTATTGTAACCCGATTTATTATTTGTCCTTTCAAATAGCATCACAATATTAGACGCATGTGTTAGTTAATCTACCTAGACTTTTTGCATCTCCTTGAAACAATAAAATAATAAAAAGTGTCAAAAAAAATAAACTTGTATGACGATTAAACAATGATGATAAACGCCAAAGGTGACATCACTAGCCAAATATAACCGAAAAAAAAAAAAAAAAAAACCAAGCCATACGTCATCACCTCTTACCCATATGGGTTATTCTCGCCGAGGAAAAGCTTACACCGAGAAAGGTTTTATGCTCGGACCTCTTGTTCAATGTTCCGTGTGACCATTCGTCATAACGCTCTTTCTTTCTTTCCTTCTTTTCCTATTGTGTAGAACGGCTAACGAGGAAGATAAAAAAGAAAATTATTAATAAAACGAGGATAAAGAAGGAATACCGAAAAATCCTATCGAAAGAAGCCCAGGCACCCGATCTTTACAAAGAGGTAGTTTATCCAAAGTAGACTGGTGTGCGCCTTCGCAAAAACTCTCAGGCTAAAAATAATTGTATTGTATTGTGACGAACTTGCTATTGTCATCATCGTAAGGCACACGCGGAAAAAGGAGAGTATGACGACTTAGAAGCCATTAATAGCGAAGTTTCCTTTATAGGAAAGGTGAAAGGAGAGGAGGACGATGAAAAAGTAAATGATCCTTGCGCTTCACGAATTTGACTTTCTGTACACAATGGCTCTGACACCGATTCATGTCTTATATTCACAGAAAAAAAAAGCCACAAAACAGATGAAGTAAAGATCGATTCGTTAGTACACTCCTGCGTTCAATTGATTGGTTCCTGAATGGTCGGTTGAATTCGTTTTCATATTTAGGTTTAAGCCGAATCCTTTCCATAAGGTTCTAAAAGAACGGGAGCGCGCAAAACGCGACAATCAGACCAAGACGGAGGCAAGTTTCATGAAAATGATATTTACGGAATCGCTTTCTTGGTAAGCTTAGAACTTTTGGATTGTACTTAATAATAATAGGCCGTCAGACAAGAGAGAAGAGTCCGAAAGCAAGAATATCTTGCCAAGAGAAAGGAAACCAAGAAAAAACTGATGAAGCGTAATTCCAAGGG